TGCAACATTTCCCCATCTGTGAAACTCTTCTCTCTCTCTCTCTCACTCCGGCCGTTAGGGTGATTTGCCACATCATTACTAATTGATAATCACGTTGGAGAGAAGCCATCAGAGGCGTACTACTGAACACTGCGGTGTCTGCGCTGACATTTCCTGGCTGGAGTAATGACTAGGTGACCTTAGTGAGAGACCTTGCAGGGCAGACAGTGCGAACGGGCAGCCGAGGGGAAAATTGAAGAGATGGTTGGCCCATCCATTTTTCCCTCCTTAACCCAGTGAAGAGAAAATGTGTATGAAAGATCAGTCCGACTAGCTATTTCTACAGGTCCATATTGGTCCAGGTCTTCCTGATGCAGAAATGACAGTGTGTGATAATATATGGATATATAGGGGAGGCCGGGGATAATTAAGTTGTAAGTCACGGTGTACAAATATAAAGGATTTACAGAAGAAATAAAAACCATTTGGAGGTAGAAATAATCAAAAATTCTAATTTGCGATCAGGTTGATGTTAAATGACAGAACTGGTATCATCTGAATCAGCAGATTCTCGTTTAATCTCGTTTTAACTTTCACCTATAATACTACCAGAATTTTTAAAATGTTTTTGAAAGTAGTCTCTTATGCTCAGCAAGACTGTGTTTATTTGATCAAAAATACAGTAAAAACAGTAATACTGTGAAATATGAAAATTTAAAATAACTGTTCTCTATTTGAATATATCTTAAAATGCAATTTATTCCTGTGGTGGCAATTTTCAGCAGTCATTACTCCATTCTTAATTCACATTATCCTTCAGAAATTGTTCTAATTATGTTGATTTGGTGTTCAAGAAGAAATGCGTTCTTATAATGAATGCAGAAAACAGTTGTGCTGCTTAATATTTTTGATGATTTTTTTTAAGTTAAAAAGAACAACCCCTTGTATTATTCAATTTTCCCAATTTCTTTGCTGTTTTATTTTGTTTTTAATACGTTTATCCATTAAAATGAAATGGGTTGAAAAAAATGTGGGGACAAATTATATCAAAGTTCACTTACAGTTAAAGTAAAAAGTGTAACAAAAACAGTGATCTCTCCCCCACTTTAAAGTGTTACCTAAAACTTTGAGCTTGCATGTAAATGAGGATGTTTGACAAAATCTTAATATAATTCATAAATCTATTGCGATCTTGGGAAATGTAGATAACTTCTATCCTCAAGTGAAGTAAAAATCTCCAGTTTATTTTCTCATTCAGCACTCAGCCTAATTGTTTTCCATTTTAATCTTGTGCTGACAGAGTAATAGTCACTGTGAGCCTGGCCAAGTCTCCAGTGTCTATTCCATTAACAAGGATGCTCTGAATTCACCATCTATCACTCTAAATTGGGGATAACCTTCAGTCCAAACAAACTAAACCCAACCTCAGCTCAGTCTCACAGCGCCTATCTCTGTGAAGCTTTGGTCTGCATTCCTTTATCTCTAATGAGATGAAACATCCCATGTTACTTGACATTTCTGCTAGGCAATGAAACCGCTGGCCCGGACTCTGTCCTGCTCACCTGAGAGAAAAATGTATTTGTAATTGTTATTGACATAATGTGAGCCATGTGACAATGGGAGAGCACACTCTTCATTCCGCAGAAATTAATAGCCTGTATCAAAGCCTCTGGACGCACAAACCTATTGCTTTTATTCTCTTGGAGCCCAGGCTGGAGAAGAGGCAAGGGAAGTAAAAGACACATTGAGAAGTTTTATTGTTTTATGTGAGCGGTTTCATTAATCTATCGAGGAAGTGAGCACCACGGTACCAACTACCCCTCTGAGCTGGGAATAGCCTTCAATAAAAAAAACTAAGTGAAATATATTACATGAGCAACAGAGGTCACTCTTGTGACCGTTTGCCATTGATCTCTCATTCTTTGAGTAACAAAGAGGTCCCACTCAAAAGTCACACTACTCTGAATTCCTTCTTCAAGACAAATGCAGTTATTTTTGAAGACATCACAGCATCAAAGGAAAAGGAGCTGAGATTTGTGACATTTCTGTGCTGCATGATAGACAAGTCTTAACAAAATCTAAATGAAATATTAAAAAAATCCATAATACTAAATACTAGTTTACAGGATTTTCAAAAAAAAAATAAACATTACGTTTGATGAATTTTTAAAAAAACTTTTCATTCTAATTGTTATGCTGATAATATAATTTGTAATGAAATTTAATAGGAAAATTTAATAGGAAATATGTAAAATAGATGCATTTTGATGAATGATCTCAGACTTTTGAACCCTACTGTACATATTTCTGGGGTGGGTTGTTTCAATGAAATATAATAAGTCAGTAAAGTGAAACAAATATGGAATAATATTATGAACAATATTCAAAAGGAATTGCAAATTGAATTTGTGTTTCCATTTTCTTTTCCGTGTATGTAACATGTCTGCCAAATTTTACATTGAAACGCAAAGTCCAATTGCAATTGCGAGTGTCTTACGAGTAATGACCCTGTCATTTTGGAATAGCAATTTAAAATCACCCATTTGCTATTTCTCTTTGATATAGTTGGAAAGTATGCCACGCTGCCACTGCTGGTGGGAAATGATGCACCGTTTTCATTTTTATTAATTCGAATGAGGAAAATGGGGACAAATATTCAATAAATGATGAACAATATTCAAAAGGAATTACAAATTGAATTTGCAGTTGTTTGTGGATTGTATACGTTGAGACAAAATCCAAACGCAACTGCAAATCACACATTTGTGTTTCCATTTTCTTTTCCGTGTATGTAACATGTCTGCCAAATTTTACATTGAAACGCAAAGTCCAATTGCAATTGCGAGTGTCTTACGAGTAATGACCCTGTCATTTTGGAATAGCAATTTAAAATCACCCATTTGCTATTTCTCTTTGATATAGTTGGAAAGTATGCCACGCTGCCACTGCTGGTGGGAAATGATGCACCGTTTTCATTTTTATTAATTCGAATGAGGAAAATGGGGACAAATATTCAATAAATGTGTCTATTTTTGCAACAAAAAATTAGTAAAACTGCTGTGTACCTTTTTTCACTTCAAAAAAAGCCAAAAACCTGGAACTAAATATTTATCACTTGCAAACAAACAAAAGAAACCAAAAGAAGACGGCTCTGGTTGCCAACAAACATCAAGAAGAAATGAAGATACATCTGTGGAACCTCACATCTGCACACCGGAAGAGAAGCACAGCGCCGTACCACGTCTTTAAAATTCAAACAAACTGTTTTCTATGAGTGTACGCACACCGGCCACAGAAAACCACTCACTAGTTTTCCATTAAATCACATTATAGTTGTCCCTAATTATTATTAATGTACATTTTGACTTCATCCTAGGCTGGAAAATCATGTATTGTGCATTTTTCAGCAAAACGTTTATCTGTGGCTTGAATAAAGTCTGTATGCTTCATATAAAGAGCTATGGATCACGCTTGCTCACACCGATTTGCTTACACCAAACTTCAAACTCATCGACACCACTTTGTTCATTCTTAAAGTGAACTTTTGCCTGTTTGTTGATTAGATTAATCGTTTGAACTGCCGTCTTGAACTATACTTGAAGGTATCGGTGTGCGATACCTGTGAGTTGTTCATGGAACTGCACTTCTCTGTGTGCAACCGAAAATTATGTCTGCTATTTTATTACATCAAAAAGATACAAATACAATTTATAATTAAAAAAATAATAATAATGCTGAAATTCGAATTATTCCATTCCTGCTCCATTTGAATTTTGTGAGGGTTGGAGCAGGATGCGGAGAAAGTGAAATAGCAAATGGGTGATTTTCTATTGTTATTCCAAAATTACAGAATCATAACTTGTTTTTTTTACAAAAACCATAGGGAAAATATTTGCATGTATTCATTCCATTTCTCCATAAACCTCAGTTACCATATAACGGCATCACACTAGGGCTGTGCATTAGGGATGCAGCGATTAACCGGTTTCACGATTAACCGCGCTTTAAAACGTCACGGTTAATTAATCGTAAAGTTCCGCTAAACCGAGTGTTTCTGTTACACGGAACGGAACTGTTGCAGCTTGCTCAAAACGAAAACAAAGTTACACTAGCGGTGCACCAGCTTAAAATGATGTGCTTATCAGAGGCACGGAGGCTACTAAGGAGCTGGTAACATCATTGTTTCTACAGGAATTAAAGCCTCAGCTTCACTGTTAATAGAGAAACGCGGCAAAACGGTGGTAATTCATACATACACAGCCCCTCTCTCTCTCTCTCTCTCTCTCTCTCATAAATGAACACTTGATGAATTACACTTTTCTGAGAATAGAATATTGAAGTGGAGATCGCTAAACTGCAAGCTAAAGCTAAAACCGGTGTTTTCAGAAAGCAAGCGCATTTATCCACAGTGGAGAGAGAGCGCGCGTGCACATGGTTGCCAGGTTGACAAAGATAAGTAGCACACTTAGCAGATATTTCCGTATTGCGCAAGTGGGAAGCTCTGTTTGGGGGATTACGTCTCTTTATATCAGTTGTGTTCCTCTGCGGCTAGATTAAACCTTGTTATAGCCTATATAGTATGCTCTATTCATTATTTTTTAGAAACCTCGCACTTTTCTGCTCAATTTTAAACGTTGTTCTTGTATTCAAATTAAGCGCGGTCCACTGCTGCACACGTGCCACAATATCGATACAGGGCCAGCTGTATCGATACTCGTATCATCAAATCTCTGTGACGATACATTGTCGTATCGATGTATCGAACACAGCACTACATCACACCTAGTCATTTCAAGCCTAATTATATGACATGGTATGTAATGTTGCATAACCAATGTATTGCTAGGCAACTGCACTGGCCATTATAATCAACATTCTCATTTCCATCAAAGACCTGCAGGACAGTAAGGCAATACAAAACTTTTATCATTCAGTTCAGTGCCTCATCATCTAATGAACTAACAGCAAAATAATCATGCAGCCATAAACAGCCATTAAGAAAGAGTTAAAGAGCTCTGTACCTTTCATCTCTCCCATGTCTAAAGTCTTCCCTAATTGTTCCAGCAGTTCTGCACGTGCTGCGTTCTTCTTGTGCTTTTTTCCATCGTAGTGTTGCTGTGCCATTCCAGGATTGTTGAACCAAGCATTGCACAGCTGACAGTAGCGATCAGAATCCCGGTGCTGACGGGTTGAGCTCAAAGGTGAGGTTTCTGAGGAGGGTGTCTTCACTGGACTAGGTGGCACCTCTGAAGAAAGCAGAACACGAGTTACATTGGATTATTGATTTAATTCATTATTTTATATTTAATATATCCAAGACTTTGGATTTGAGTGCAATAGCAAAACACGCTGGGGAGGTATATTTGGTAAGTCTGCAGAAGTTTGGAAACCAGGGACAACATGGTAAATTCTGTATATAGAACTTTAGGCAATGGCCAAGATTCTGTCCTCTCTAGGACACACCCCTAAATACGTGGGTTGAGATTCACAGGAGACTTTTTTCTCCACATTTCCATCACACTCTCTGTACATGTTTGTTAGAATGAGGGATAAAAGGATTTGCCTATATTTTGCCGATGTTGGAGAAGATGAGAAAATGTATTTCCTACTGGCCATAAAACTGTATTTCGTATTATTTTTATTTTAAAATAAGTATGCATTAAATTAAATGCTGTTCTTTTGAACTTTCCATTCATCATGATTCCTGAAAAAAATCTATAGTGTAGATATGGTTATTATATTTGAATTAAATTATTAAAAATGTTATTTACATTTTCCATTCACATTGTAACAAACATCACAGGAAATGTCACTTGCAGCATTACCGTCTCCATTTCTCAGTGAAATGCACATGCCACAAAAACAAAGAAAAAAAATGTGATTTTGTCCATCTTATTATTGTTTCAGAGGCTTAACATGAAAAATATTCTATATGTTTGTCAACATGGATTTCTAGAGAAAAATGAATTTAAGTATCTTAGATAAAAGTTGTTCGAATAGGTGAGGGTCGGGACTAAGGTTTTACCGTTTGTACTGTTTTGATTTGAATAGCTTACATCACAAGGGGCGGACTATCAGTTTTAAAGCATGCAATATTGCCATTTCTAATAAAATTGTCCACCAACTGTTTGTTTGTTTTATTCATTTGCCAAAGCCAAGTTTTACTCTCATTTGGAGCTTTCAGAGAGTGAATTTGGACCTGTTTGCAATCCAGATAGCTTGAGGATTTTTGGATTTTCTATAAGTACATGCTCAGACAACTCGCATAAATTATTCCCAGCTATGCAATGACATTTTACTGCTTGAATAACCCAATGAATCAAAGAAAAAGATGAGTCTTAATCTTGTTCACTGCAGTGATTCTGGTTGGAAATTATTTCTGATCTTGACAGCAACAACACAATCACTGGGACTTTACTTATCCTTCCGTTTAGATGTGTCCTCTGCTTCATAACTAACAAGCTGTTGTCACTGACTTTATCAGGAAGGTGATGCTTTGCATTGTGTCTGACAGTCCTGCGTCTGACCCCCCCCCACAAAGCCAAGCGTCTTTACTCATTTACTGTATGCTTATGCATTTTCATGCATGGATGGTGGCATCACCACAGAGCAGAAAGAATAAACACAAAACACACCAGAGAATCATAATGCCGGGCCTAACAATCAGTTTTAACACCTCAGTGGCTGTCCACTCTGCCATGGACAATGTTTACAAAAGCTCTGTTCAACCTTGACATCACATCCCATTATTTGGTAGAAGGGACAATCGGAGAGAATGAGAGTGAACTGAAACAATATCTTTGACAGAGTTTGTTCACATTTACACTGACTGCTCTAAACTGTTCTTCAGCCTTATTTGCAACTTTATATATGATTTGATATATGAACTACATTAGCAGTGACTATAAAAGCTATGGCAGAGGCTAATAGACTCCACATAAACTCCAAAAAAGCTTTGATTCATTAGCATATTTGTTAAAAACTAGGACAATCAGGAACAAGAGACATGTTGAAAAGTACCCTTGTTGAGCCAGGAAATTTATACCCTGCCAAAACATGTGCATTATTCCTTCAATCTGTTTTTCACTCTTCTTTTACATTCTTTTCTAGGGTTGATAAAAGTATAATGCATGCTTTAGTTGGGACACAAAATTGAATTTAGCCAATTAACAACCACTGCAACAAAAATTAAATTTGATACCGCAAATTAAAATGCTACATGAGATGAAAATAAATTTAAAGAAGATAAATGAGCTGTCACAAGAGTACAAGAGACAGTTCATGAGCAGGCAACCTCATTTTGAGAAAGCTTAATCTAGTTTGTTTTTAACTGACGGTCATTCTCTGTAAAGAAATATTGTTTATTGCAGGGCCTATCAGTTTGTGGCACAATGAAAGACAATACATTTGCATTAAAGCCATTAAATTAATTAGTCCTGCCTGAAGTGTGGCCACACCTCCTCTTACAGGAAATTTACATAGCATTTTATGTGTGGCAAGGCTAAGCTGTCTATGAAGAACAAATGTTGCCTTGACAATAAACAAAATGTCAAAAGTGCAAGGCAAATACAAATTTAATAAAAGTGACAGTAAAATAAAGCACATAATATGTAATTCATAAAACTCCCTTAAGCCCTTGCTGCAGTTATTGGAGTATCTGACAGACTCTTGCAGTATAACACTATGGATATTGGCAGAATCTGGCACCTGCACTGAAACATTGGAGTACTGATTTACAAGCTCAGGGGTTTACAGAATGTCATCCATCAAAAGGAAAAACAGGAAAGTTTCTAGTTTCGTACAAACACAAGACCAAGACCATCCCTGTACAATATAAGAGAGCTGAGTTTTATACAGGGTCACCAAGCTTTTTGACATTATTTACTAGATTATCTGCACTTGTGAGTTATGTGTCACATGGTGACAACTTACTTCCAGTTCCTTGCTTTAATATTGTCACTGTCACTGTGTTTTGTGTGTGGAATAGAATATGCGGAGCTGAATGCCTTGATTCATTGTTATATGTGTGTACTAAAATGCCATATATTCTTGTTCTGCAGGGACCCTCGTTATAAAACATTGCTCACATGTCATTCACAAAAAGCTTGTGTGACAGTTCACTTGTTTGGTGAATCATTCTAAAATATCCACTGTGTTTTGTGTGTGGAATAGAATATGCGGAGCTGAATGCCTTGATTCATTGTTATATGTGTGTACTAAAATGCCATATATTCTTGTTCTGCAGGGACCCTCGTTATAAAACATTGCTCACATGTCATTCACAAAAAGTTGGATAGCCAGTCTGCTTGTGTGACAGTTCACTTGTTTGGTGAATCATTCTAAAATATCAGAATTTAAAATAACTCTTTTCTATTTCAATTATACTTAAAAAAGTAATTTATCCCTGAGATGGCAAAGCTGAATTTTCAGCAGCCATTACTCCGGACTTCAGTGTCACATGATCCTTCAAAAATCATTTGAATATACTCATCTGATGCTCAAGAGACATTTCTTATATTTATTCATCTTGAAAACAGTTAAGCTGCTTAATATTTTGTGAGATAAAATATTTGAGGAATATTCATGATATTTGAGGAAAGTTCAAAAATAGCATTTATTTGAAACCGAAATCTTTTATAACATTATACATATCTTTAGCTACACTTTACTGTTACTTTTGAATAAAAAAAGACTTACTGACCCTAAACTTTTGAACATATATATACTACCTTTCATGAAGTCCTTCCAGAAATATCACCATCACTAGTCTCCCAATGCAGACGGCAATGTCTCAACCAATGTAATTACTGCAACCAGACTTCTGCCTTAACAGTCCTTCTGCCCAAATTAAATTTGGTGCCACAGGCCTGTGACACTGAAGTAATTCATTACCGCTATCTCAGTTTAACTTAATGTTCCTAGGGTCTGATTTATGACATCCTGTTGTCTTGGGCCTCTTGTGGAATTTTGGGCTCCTCAGGTTTCAACCATGTTTTAACCAAATCATAGATCGTCTGATTCGGTCTGATATCCTACAGTCATCTATCAGGAGATTTACTGCAGGCACAAAGACAGCTACTGGATTTGGGTGACATAAAGATGGAGAGGGACTTTCTAAGAGATCATTCATCCAAGCATACAGCCAAAACTTTGTGTGATTCCTTAGCGACAACTGTTGCGTGTCATTAGGTCTGAGTAAACCCACACGTCTACACACTGTTATCACATTTAATTGTGGGGGGAAACATGCAAAATATCTGAAATATTTAGAAAGCGAACATGCAAGGTGCAGGCGATGTGTGTATAATGCTAGAAATGATGCTTTGTCAAACGTCACAGTTGTAGATTACAGGCCTAGGTATGAAGATTATGCTGCCTTTAGATGTTACCTGATTTATTGTCAAATTTGTAAGTTATATAATTTCTGACTCAGAAGTTGCACATGAAAAAAAATCATTATTATGACTTGATTTTTCTATTGTTTTCCCAAATACAAATTGTCATGTTCATTTACACATATCAGAAAGCATTTGATGCATATTATACATTGTTTTACACAGGAAAAAAAACAAAAAGAAAATATCACCATCACTAGTCTCCCAATGCAGACGGCAATGTCTCAACCAATGTAATTACTGCAACCAGACTTCTGCCTTAACAGTCCTTCTGCCCAAATTAAATTTGGTGCCACAGGCCTGTGACACTGAAGTAATTCATTACCGCTATCTCAGTTTAACTTAATGTTCTCATGGTCACTGGGGTGTCCACAACCTTGTTCATGACTGTTACTCCTAGCTCTTTTTTGGGCATGAAACCAGCTCTTTTACATTATGTTAGTATATCATTAGCACCTTACTGTCCACTCCCCCACTGTGCCTCTTATTCACAAGCTCAGGGAGGAGCAATGAGCATGTCTTGATCCCCAGAAGGCAGAAGCACCTCCATCCTTCCATTTATTTGCTGCCCTTTGCCTACTGCAGCATAAAAGCACTTTAAAATCGCTTAGAAGGCTCCCGAGTATCACTGGTTAAGGAGAGTCTGTTTCTATTATATATATATATATATATATATATATAAAACAGAAATGGAATTAGGGACAGAGGAAGGGATAGCAGGTTGAGAACAGTGAAAACAAAAAACAAAAAACAACAACAACAAACACGTTCATAAAAGCACTGACTGAAATAATTTCAAGTCTCTCACATTCTAAAAAAAATCAGTTCATGGCCACTGCTGCAGTGAAAAAGATTCACCGGCAATGCGCTTCCTGTCTCCTTTATAACAAACAATAGTCTGACACCAGCAGGCAGGAGTTCCCTTTCAGTCGGTCACTCTCGACGTCACGTCGGATGACCGACGAAATTGGGATCTCGCTTAGAGGGACCAATCTACTTCGAGTTTAAACTAAACGAGCCAATGCACATTGGCATGCGAGCATTTGATGCATATTATACATTGTTTTACACAGGAAAAAAAACAAAAAGAAAACATCAAAGCACTGAATATAATTGAACATAAAGCTACATCTCTGCAAATTTACTTTGTCTTATTTACATTCTAACTAAATTCATAATACATTTTCCCCGAATACACAAAACATGCAAGAGCATGTAACTCTATAAGTGTGCAAAGTGTGTTTTAGTGTGCAAAAAAATGGCCAAAACCACTGAATATGCATTTCACACGCAATCTTATCCTAATGCAATGAAGGTGTACGGCTTGAGAGATTCCATTTCTGGATCAACCAGAACAGGATAAAAGGCTTTCCCCGCCCCCCCTTTTTAAAATCCTTGCAGTTATCTGCTTTTCTCTCTTAAAAATCCTTACAGGAGTTTCTGTAGAATTCTCTCACTGCTGAATCTCATCTAGTCCCCTCCTTTATATAAGCAGGCAATTTTTGACCACATACACTATTTGAGCTATTTTACAACATAAAACTGCCTTACAATAAAAAAAAAAAGCTTTTTGAATACGCTGGAAATCTTAACAAATGGAAATTGTAATTATAATTATATTTAAATTATAATTAGGTAGCTTGCCCAGTTTCCACAATAAACTGCTGTATATCTAGTCTAGACACACACACACAAACAAAATATAATTTTCCCATATTTACCAAAGGCAAAGATGTTTATTGTAGTAACAGGAATCATAGGCAACCAGACCTGACTGCAAACCACCCTGCTGAGTAATTTAATAAGATTGATGTAGTACCCTTAAATGTCATGTATAAATAAACAAATGTACATGTAGGTCAATAAACACAGCCTTTCAGTGGTTTCTCATTTGTCTTACTGAATACAAAAGAGGAGGAGGAGGAGGAGAAAGAGACAGGATGTTTTGTGTTATTGGCTGATATCCGGCTGAAACAATAGTGTTTCCCAGGAGATGAGCTGGGCTCAGGTCACCGGCTTCACTCAGCCGCGTCACTTATGTGTGTTAATGCAGAAATCAATAAGAGTGGCCTGTGAATGGTCTGGTTTTATTTCACACAAACTGCGGTAGAGCCACTAAGATCCTAACACATCAAACAATACAAGCTAACTTCTTAAAACCATCATCAAATTACTTGCATGCACATTTTTTTACTTGATCTATTAAGCTATTCAGAAATATCTTACATTTTAACTGAAAGACAATGACTTGAATATACATCTTCTATTTTCAATTTCTAAAAAAAAAGCTTAAAGGGGTCATATGACGTTGCTAAAAAGAACATTATGTTGTGTATTTGGTGTATTGCAATGTTTATGCGGTTTAAGGTAAAAAAAAAAACATTATTTTCCACATAATGTACATTATTGTTGCTCCTCTATGCCCCGCCTTTCTGAAACGCGTCAATTTTTACAAAGCTCATCGTTCTGAAAAGCGAGGTGTACGCTGATTGGCCAGCTATCCATGTGCATTGTGATCGGCTGAATACCTCAAGCGTGTGACGGAAATGTTACGCCCCTTAACACACTGTGATGGCGTGTCCCGGAGCGACGAGACAAAACCAATAAAACCCATTATAAAGTTTAAACGAGCCGTTTTAGGAGGGCGTGGACAAGTCTTAACTTTCATAAAGAATATCTCTTTGCATTTGAGACTTTAGTCTTTGCAACTTTACAAATCTTCTTCATGCATCAAGAGCTTGTAACACTCCAAAGAGAAAGGAAAAATTTTAATTGCATCATATGACCCCTTTAAAGTCACAATGTGACTGTTATATGATTTTTATAAAAAGCCAACCTAGATTTTGGCTTTTTTTATAAAAAGGCAAGGTTAGTTCAGATCAAACAGTAATCCCAAGAAAACTTTGTGATAAGAATTTACTATAAAATCAAATTAAGCCAACACGAATATAAAGATAACATTTATAAGAATTCGGCATTTGTGTTTCGAACTAGATTTTTAAAAGATTTCTTGATCTCAAACTCTTAGACATCATTATTTGTAATTGACCTGGAACAGACTTTGAGATCACGTCAACATTCCAATTCTGAACTTCAATAATAAACTATACATTCAAATATCACTTAATAGATAATCTTTCTCTCTAAAATGCTTCTCTAAAAACACTTTTAGAGACACCAGCCCTTTTTTTTTTTTGAAGTGACACTGCAACATGTTTACAGTTTGTCCCCAGATTGCCAGGGCACTGAAAAACTTACTGAGTTTCAAGAGAACTCCTCTCTGCTCAGTTAAGCTGGGCCTTAGCTAGTCTGTCTCAGTATGCCACATGTCAGAGGGATTGATGGTCTGCCTCAATCCACTCGGAGTGGGACACAAGCCTCGTCTGTAGCCATCAGACGCAGATGGCACAGCTAATGATGGCATCAGTCAGTGACAGGAAACATGGGAGGAACAAGCAGAGAGAGAGAGAGAGAGAGAAAGCAAAGAAAAAAACAAAACAAGACTACATTGGTAATACATTTTAAGCCAGATATGCTACATAGCCTTGCATTTAAAACTAGACTGTGAAAAGAATGAACCTATGAATTTTAAATTAACATGGCAACACACAAGACCATACAATAATATGCACCATAAGGTTGATAAGTAATGGTTAAATGTGCAGTCAGATGGTCATGATCAAAAATAAGCCTATTCAGGGTGATAAAGGGTAATATTAAAACAAAAATTGTTATACAAAAAATTATAATAATAATAAATGTACTATTTATTTTATTTAGATATGTTATAATAATAATAATAAAAATAATGTATTATTACTTTATTTAGATTTATTTTTATTTTATTATTTTTATTATAACAATAAAATAAATGTAATTATAAAAGTACCTCTAAATAACAATAATAATAATAATAATAACAATAATAATAAATCTCACAGAATAAACAGTGGTTTTCATCCACTAGTCTGCCTTGTATGCGCATTAGATTACATCAGTTTGACACAGATAGTGGACAGACTGTGGCTCCATCTCAAGCGTTAGAATTGTGTAATTGATCCTAAACACTGGATGTGATGTGGTGGGCCTCCTAACTATGCCATATGTGGCACAGTTGTCCAGTGAAGAGTGTAATTAATAAACACATTGGTCATTTGGAGGCACAGCCAGTAGGAAAGCTGGTGACTAATGGATGCTGAACGGAACTGAGAGCCAGTGTAGTCTCTCTCTCCATTGGCTGAAATCGAAATGACATACGAAGCCTCTCTCTACTGTACACACTGTATATCCTTTTTTCATCCTCCTACGGGCAGAGGATTTATGAGAGCCCACAGATCCCTGAGTGTTTCCTGCTCATTTTTGGCAGGTCGCTATTGTGCTGTAAACAGGTCAGAAACCTAAAATGCACAGCAAAGCACTGCATCATAGAAACCTAATGCAAGAATGAACACAGACATGAATACAAATATGCAGACAGTGTGATAACAGTATTCTCAAACTCACTGCTTTCACTTGGCTGCTTCTGTAAAGCTCCTTTTACAAAGTCACAGACAGACACATACACATTCTTCCGCCTTATTTTTAGGTCAATTACCCCTGTAAGCAAGTAGGCGGTGAGCACTGATGTGCAGTGCAAGACTGTGAGTGTCCGGCTCTTTCAAACGCCTGCCCTGATCCTCCAGCCACACGCAGTCATCTCTGACAGATCTCCTCATATATCAACACCCTCCTGGAGTTTTTGAAACTTTTTAGTGCTTCGTGTGTGCATGTCTGTGTTTGTGTGTCTAACACGTACCTTTAGCTGTTATGGCAGGCTGTTCCCCCAGCAGAAGTTTGAGCCTCTTAGCATGGATCTTGCCTTGGTAATGAGACTGCGCTACCACCGCTGAAGTAAAGGACATGTTACACAGTGTACAGCACTTGTTTTTATCCACATCTCCCTCCTCACTCCCCTGCAACACATCAGACACATTTATCACGGTCAGAATGTCAGACAGAGCAAGGGCATGGGGTTGAAAAAGGAAATCAAGAGCTTAGCATAACATTTCTCGCAGCAGATTTTTTCCTCCTAACCCCGGAGGTCAAACCCCCCATCAGTGCTTGAGGGTAAATGAGCTACAAATGTAACAGAGTGAAGAATGAGAGCGAGAGGGGGAGAAATGTCTCGGCTACTTTGGGATTGCTTATGTGGTTCCTGGTGGGATGCAAATGGAGGTGATTTACCAGTAATGGGACCAGTTTGATTGAACTATCACAGGCAGAAATTGAGGAGTTCACCCACTGCCTGCTGTAAGACCTATTTCATATTTTACATCAAATACGCAGAGCCGATCCTCCCTATATGCAAAATACACTAGCTGTGTAGGGCCCCCGAAACACCAGGGGGCCCCCTTGCTCTCAAAGATGATTTAATTTTAGTTTTGTTTTTGAATTTGGCCAGCGGTTATGAAAACATGAATAATCATTTCTTTTAATGCAGTGCGCTGTCACCCTTTCTAAGTAAAAATCAGTCAAATCATGTAACGTGAATGTCGTACAGTCTTGCTCGAGACTAAACAAACGAGTTGAAAGCGTACCGAGCCGCGGAAGAGACACTGGTTCTCAAACGCTTTCTGCGAGCGCGATTCGAGACGGAGTGAAACACGTGAATGTTTCATTCATTCGTTCATAACCACTCATACCCCACACACACACACACGCAGTTTTGCGTAGGGCCCCCAGAAGTCTAGGATCGGCACTGCAAATACAAGGTGTGGAATCTGGGGAGTAGAGGTCTTCTCGGGTCCTAAAATCTGAACCCGACCCGAATCGACCCAAATCACTTCTTACCTGAACTCGACATGCATTCATTTTGTTTTTAAATTAAAACCTGACCCGAGACAGACCCGATGAAATTAGACCCGAGTTCAACCCGACCCGATGGCATTAATTTTCTAACCCGACTGGACCCGAACGTAAACGCCATTGACGTGTGCACAGCCTGCAGCCCCACAGTCAGTAAAGAAAAATTCCGATGTCCTGCAGACTGATTTGGCCACTTCTCCATTACTTTGATTTATTTAATTTATTGTTACTTTATATTATTGCCTACCTGATAGATACAAGTTATTTATGAGTTCGGCTTTCAATTGTGACCAGTGGATTTGGAAAATAAACGTGATAGTTTGATAAAAATTAAATCGATAGCCGTTGTCTGCAACCTAATCTCCGGAGAAAGGCTTCTGCACACAAAAAAGAAAAGCCCTGCATGAACACGCAGCATAATGAAGTGAGTGGATTTTCCTGATGGATCTCATATCTATAAGATGATTTCTGTGTGCAAGGTTACAAACGTACGCTCCTTTTCTATGTGCATTCCTCACTTAACATGAACGTGCAAGTACACATCCGGGATAGTTTAAAAGAATTCGGGTCTAATCGGGTCCATTTGGAAAAAGCACATTTATTTTAAATTACCCGTGACCCGAGGCCGCTAATACCGAACCTGACCCGTGTCCGAGGCACTCGTAGAAATTTTGTGCCCGAACCCGCTCGGGTCTCGGGTCGGACTTTGGGTTTTCGGATCCAAGTGGACCCATGAAGACCTCTACTATGGAGCCATTTAATTGACTGAGTTTATTTTCCCGGTGATACATTCATCAGTATATGCTTGGGCTGGAGATCCAATAGAATTCACTTTTAGGGTTTCTCGCCTATACCAAAAAGCCAGCAATTACTGAACATTAGATATTAAAGTTCTATACAATATTGTGTGCAAAAAAAAAATTAATCTAGAAATAAAGAACTAAATCTAATTTTAAATGCCAATTTTAAGTCTATTAAGCATATTAGCGTAATAATGTATACTACAATTGAGGCATATAGATGACAATTAACAGTGTTAATAAATTATTAGTGTTATTAAATATTATTTTGAAGTTATTTAATATTTTTACATTTATAAAAAAAATTATATTCCAAATAAACACTGTGCTTATAAATATAATGATTTGTTTCTTGAGCACCAAATCACATTAGAATGATTTCTGAAGGATCATGTGACCCTGAAGACTGGAGTAATGGCTGCTGAAAAATTCAGCTTTACCATCTCAAAAATAAATTACATTTTAAAATATATTAAAATAGAAAACACTTAAAATTGTAATATTATTTCAACATATTACAGTTTACTGATCATGAATAAATAAAACATAGCTGCACTGTATTATCAAATGATAACTAGAATTCTGCCCTCTACAACACACCTGATTGATATCCCAACTGTTACCTTGGATGAACCAACGCCAATATCCCAAAAACAGAATTAAGGTGACAAACCTGATGAGATGTCTTTCTTTTTTTGTTCATTACGCCTACTTTTCTCTCTTCCTTTCCGTAAAACACTGTAATTTTGTTAAGATTCCACTGTGAAATTTGCTAGTCTTTCGCCTTGTTAGATGTTCCTTACAGCCGTTGTAGCTGTTAACTGTAATTACATGGAGAGACTTTATATTGATAGCAATCATAAACAATGGTTGCCCTACAGCTCAGTTTCCAGCTCTATGAATAAAACAAGGAGCTCATTTGCATGAATTTTTCAGCAATTTTGTTCCATTGCCACATGGAGCCTTGGACCATAGGAAGGGCAAACTGGTATTACACATGTGGAGTGAAAACAGGCTTAGGTTGCACTTGGAGGCATTCTTACACAAGCATGTAAACGCACAAACTCACTCTCTGTCTGAGCAGGAAACTCAATCTGACTGCACTGACACTGACACTGTGCTTGAAGTATGTTAAAAGAGAGTGAGACAGCAATAAGGTCAGAATTCCTGAGTATGTACAAGTATGTTCTATACGTAGGAGATAGTATGTATTAAATACACTATCAGATACAGTACTACATTCGCCATGTTGGTTTTGTCTAAACTATGAAGCTATTTTTCTCAGTTCCAGTGTGGGTGTAGTTACTGCATTTTGGCTTTGTATTGGTCAGTTTTATTTGCTTTATATATACTGCTTTTGCATAATGTGTAACGGGGAAGTATGCATTAAAGCTATTTTTGGTCTGCAGGTTGACCTGCAGAAATTCATTGTTTTCTCTGTTTGTAAGTATCATGGAAGGCAAGCACTCTGGTAATGGAGGGAGCTGAACACAAAGCACACACCAACACAGCACTTCTCCAAATGACCTTGCTCTGTGCTCCAGTATGTGCACTGTACATTCAGTATATCCATTACCACATCACCTGCTCTGAAAAGCAGAATCTCTCACACAAGTCTTCGTACAGTGCACTCAGAATGCTGTGGTCTTTCTGCTGTAGTGACATTCACTATAATACAGCAAAATGAAATCACTGCCAAGTGCAAAACAGAATGGCTCTCTATTATAAGCAAATTTGATAAAGAACATCGGTGTTAATGATTGCCATCTGCAAAAGGGGTAGGTCACCATGTTGCAAATTTACATTGGTTCAAAGTAATGCAGTTTAATTGTTAAATTACGATGTATGGTTGTTTTGGACATTATGAAAGTATGATTTTGATATGCACAATGGTGCAAATGATATGCATAAAGGTGCAAATTATCATCATGAAGCAAATTTGCAGTGGCTCAGAGTATTTCAACTGTTTAAATGGTTAATTTTAGACATGAAATAGTTTGACTGTGTTATGATGCAAATTAACATGCAATTAAAATAAAAGAACTGCTAAAAGAAGTTTCTGACTTTAATTTAAATATTCATTTAAATGGTAAATTTTAACAAGTGGAAAGACGTTCATGTGTCAATGTATTTTCTTAGAGCACATTCCTGGTTTTATTAACAAACAAACTTTTTTTAAACAAAATGCTATAAACTGCATCAAAATGTTCTTCCTCTGAAACAACTTTCTTTGTCTGACATCACTTAGGCCATGTGGACTAATTTTAACTAATTTCCAAATGGCTATTATGGGATTAATGGCACTCTACTGTGTAGGTCAATCAATTCTCAATGGAGTGTTGAACTATATATTTTCATGTTAACTGTCCTTTTTCACTTGGAAATACGTCAGATTATGGAAGTGAACTGTGTCATGTTTACAATTCATGTTGCTTATAGATAAATGAAAAATAAATGCATATTTTTAAGCATCAAATCCAGAGTCTAAGGTATAACCCACAAACATGTGCATGCATGAACAATATTGATAACATTTTGAACCGAAAAATGACATCCAAGGCTCTTTAATAGGAAAACGCAACAGAAAACCCCTGTCTCAGCTGTATCCCACAGATTTAATCTCCAATGTGATTCGTCAGATATGTGTGGCTCACTTTATTCTAAACTCATGTGCAAAGCTGAAGATAATTACACATCTGAATATAGGTCTACGCAGCAATTCACAGCCTGTCACTAAGAAAGATGCATTGCTCTTCAATAAAACGGATTTGTGTCCATTTCATTTATGCAATAAAATAATATTTTTTATCTGAAAGCCGTAAATTCACTTTTCTGTCAACACAAAACATAGTGTCTTCAACAGAGCTTTACTCTTATAATAATAGCGGTGCAAACAAGCAAAAAGCTTACTTATTGTTGTCCCTACATATTAAGGTTGGAGAGGAGAAAGTATTTTAAGTTACACACATGACATATCACTTTAACTGAAAAAAAATATATTCTTCAAACCAGGGGCGAACTGGGACAAAATTTCAGGCCGGGAAATCTCACACTCATCCAGGCCATTCCATACACTCACAACAAATTCTGAAACACGGACAACCCTATTAGCCTATTTGTATGACCATCACATAAAAAGGTCTAAATCTTTAGTCGGGGCCGTGGAAAATAATTAAAGGTTGTCTCTTGAACTGCACCTTCACTTCCCTTTTCCTTTTCTTAATTTTCTCCAGTATCTCTCTCTCTCCCTTTTTTCTTGTACCTGTCACTTCTTCACCAGCAGGTCTACAGTTATTAACAGAACTGTG